GAGAGGGGAAAAATTTAAGGGAGATATGCGTGGAAAGTTCTTTACGCAGAGGGTGGTGGGTGCCTGGAACACATTGCCAGCGGAGGTGGTAGAGCCGGGCACGATAGCGTCATTTAAGATTTTTCTAGACAGATACATGAACAGGCAGGGAGCAGAGGGATATAGATCCTTGGAAAATAGGCAACAGGTGTAGATAGAGGATCTGGATCGGCGCAGGCTTGGAGGGCCGAAGGGCCTGTTCCTGTGCTGTAATTTACTTTGTTCTTTGGATCAAGGGTTACAGGGAGAAAGCGGAAGAATGGGGTTGAGGAACTTATTAGCCATGATTGAATGGCGGAGCAGACTCCATGGGCCGAATGGCCTAATTTCTGCTCCTATGTCTTATGGTCTCTTATCTGTGCATGAACATGTGTATTGGGATTTCAAGGGGGTTTAGTTAAGTTTGCTTATTAGCAATTAATCATCTGCTTTGCTACTGTTAAGAGAATGCGTTTGCTTATAGAAAATAAGTTTTGTTTCCATGTTTATTAATGAACTTGGTTGTTTATTTTCTCTTAAATGGTGGTCACTTTAGCCAAATTGACCATTATAGTGATTAATTTGTTTTTTATACATTTGTGACAGCTTGAGAAAATTTGGTGCTTCACTTCCAGCGCATTCTTCCCATTAGGGTTGTGAAATTTGGCACAAAAAAATGTTCAGAGCTTTCAGTCTCAAATTTTCAGAACTTTTGATCTTCAGCCACTCCTACTCCTTACTTTAAGCACTTACAGCCAGTTGTTCTAGTTCCTCTTTATCTATTTTTAGGTTGGACATTATCTCAGCCACATGCTCTTTAACTTTGGCAGTATCTTGTTCATCATTGAAGCCAAAGCAATATTGTCTTCCCATGCGCACAAGGCACTTTTTTGTCCCTGATTAGCCTCACCTCTCGTCTTGCAAGATTTTAAAATTATTATAGAAGACTTGTGGATTTCAAGAATGAAGTGGCACAAGTGAATGCAGTGTAAATGAACGAACATTTATCACAGTTTTACAGCATTTAGATCAACTAAGGAAAGAAAAAAGTTCCAATCTGGAGCAAATATACTGAACTGGTGAAGCACTCAGGTTAGAAGGTTGAGATCTAATCGTAATTAACCCGGACCACTTGCTGCAATAGCATAGATCTTGCAGCTGCCCCTGGAATTGCAGGCTTACTTAAAGATTTGTTATAGTTTTATGACAGTTATTATACTACACTAATAAGATTTTTATTCATTTTGTTTCTTTAACATTAAAACAACCAAACAAAACTAATCATGATGTTTTTTTCAAATGAACATTTTTTTTTAAAATAAGTTTTTCGAAGACCTACAGTGAATGGCTGAATTTTTTTATTATAAAATAAGAAGCTTAAAAAAGTACATGTTTGAAAGGGAGTTTCTTTTTTACATTGCAAGTGTTTATTTTGGTAAAGCTTTCTTTTAAAATAAGAGTGTCATGACATGAGTTTAAAGGCATTATGTTCCTGTTAGAGTGAAGAGTAAGATTAAAGGACAATGGATGAAAAAACATATTGAGGCTCTCGTCAAGAATAAAAGAATCTTATTTCAGACATAGACAACTTGGTCCAACTGAATCTCTTAATCAATATAAAGACCATAGGGGCATTCTTAAGAAAGAAATCAGGAAATTAAAGAGGGGATATGAAATATCATTGGCAGATAAGGTTAAGGATAATCCAAAGAGATTCTACAAGTACATTAAGAGTAAAAGGGTAACTAGAGAGAGGGTAGAGCCCCTTAAAGATCAAGGAGGTCATCTTTGTGTTGAAGCCAAGAGATAGGAGAGATAATAAATGAATATTTTGCATCAGTTTTTTTTACTGTGGAGAAAGAAATGGAGGCTAGAGAATGCAGGGAAGTAAATTTTGATGTTTTAAAAACAGTTCACATTACAGAAGAGGAAGTTCTGCAGGTCTTAGAGAATATAAAGGTGAATAAATCTCCAGGTTCTGATCTAATGTATCCCAGAACATTGCCGGAGGTAAGACTGCATCATCTATAACTACAGGTGAGGTGGCTATAATAGGAGGGTGGCTAATGCTGTGCCTTTATTTAAGAAAGGTTGTAAGTAGAAACCAGGGAATCATAGACCTGTGAGGCTGACTTTGGCTGTGGGTAAATTGTTGGAGGTGATTTTAAAATTTAGGATTTATCTATATTTATAGAGGCAAAAATTGATTAGGAATAGTCAACATGGTATTGTGTGAGGAAAATCATGTTTCACAAACCTGATTTGATTTTTTTGAGGAAGTCACCAAAAAGATTGATGAGGGCAGAGCAGTAGACATTGGTTTCTTGGATCTTAGTAAAGCCTTTGACAAGGTTCCGCATGTTAGACTAATTAGTAAAGTTAGGTCACATGGGATTCAGAGTAAGCTTGCCAATTGGAGACATAATTGGATTAACGGCAGGAGACAGAGTGGTAGTGGAGGGTTGTTTTTTGGACTGGAGGGCTGTCACCAGCGGTGTTCCACAGGGATTGGTTCTGGGTCCTCTTGTTTGTCATTTATATAAATGATTTGGAGGAGAATATAGCAGGCGCAATTAGAAAGTTTGCAGACGGCACCAATATTGGTGGCATTGTAGACAGTGAAGAAGGTTTTCTAAGATTACAAAGGGATCCTGATCAAATGAGTTAATGGGCTAAAAAATGGCAAACGGAGTTCAATTTGGATAAATGCGAGGTTATTACACTTTGATACAACAAACAAGGGTAGGGCTTATACAATTAATGGTAGGGCCTTGGGTAGTGTTGTAGAACAGACAGACCTAGGGCTTCAGGTACATAATTCTTTGAAATTTGTGTCACACAGTCAAGGTAATTAAAAAGGAATTTAGCACGCTTGCCTTCATGGCTCAGTCCTTTGAGTATAGGAGTTGGGGAGTCATGTTGACTTCGTACAGGACATTGATGAGGGCTCTTCTGGAGTGGTGTCCAGTTCTGGTCACCCATTATAGGAAGGATATTATTAAGCTGGAGAAGATTCAGAAGAGATTTGCCAGGATGTTTCTGGGTATGGAAGGTTTGAGTTACAAAGATAGGCTGGATAGGTGGGACTTCCTTCACAGGAGTGTAGGAGGTTGAGAAGTGACCTGATGGAAGTTTATAAAAGCAGTACAGATAGGGTTAATGGTAGGTGTCTTTTCCCTAGGATGGGGGATTGCAAGACTAGGGGGCACATTTTGAAGGTGAGGGGAGTAAGATTTAAAAAGAGACATGACGGGCAAATTTTTTTTTTTTTTTTTTTTACACAGAGGATGGTTTGTGTGTGGAATGAACTTACTGAGGAAGTGGTGGATGTGGACACAATTACAACATTTAAAGGCATTTGGATGAGTACACGAACAGGAAGGGTTTGGAGGGATATGGACCAGGAGCAGGCAGGTGGGATTAGTTTCGTTTGGGATTATGTTCAGATTGAATGTTTGGACTAAAGTGTCTATTTTTGTGCTGTATAACTCTATGACTCTCTAACAGAGCTAAAGGTTGGAAGGTAAGACTGTGGTCAACAAATGGCTTTCCTTAAACTTAGTGTCAGGGAAGACTCCAGATACAGTCAATTATTTTTGGGGGAGGATGCTAGCAAAGCCAGAGCTCCCCAGATAATGGAAGAGATAGAGTGTAAGATTAAACGGAAAGGGAGAATTAAGACAAACGTCAAGTTGATAATACATGCTGAATGTGGAACATTCAGAACCAAAATGAAAAGGGAAAGAAGGACAAAGTATGTTATGGAAAGTAAAGGACAGTTAATACAAGAAGAAATCCAAAAGTCTTCAATAAATGCATAAACAATTTACAAAACTAAAATCAATAGATAAAGCCAATTAGGAGCAGTAAGTTCTGAAGCAAAATATTAAATATTCTTGTTGAAATATTGTTAAGGCCCATAGCCTTTGCAGTAAGTAGTGACATCAGCTATTCCTTTGTGTCATATAAAGTGAATTAAATTGGCTGAAACCTGGCACATGCAATACTACAGTCTTCAGGAGGAAATCAAGATGGATCATTCACTCAACACTTCTGGCTGAAATTAGCTCCAAATGCTTCTTTAATGTCTTTTGCATTGAACTCCGCTGGACACACCCAGCACTAAACATAGGGATTCTTGTGGAATCTTCTCCTCCTGTTAATTGTTGAATTTTCCATCAATGTTCACTGTTGCATGTGGCAGGATTGCAGAGCTTAGATTTAATCTGTCTATTGCAACGATTTCTACTTTTGGTATTCAAGTAGTCCTGTGTTGTAGCTTCATCAAATTGACACATTGTTTATAGGGTATACCTACTGCAGCTCCCACTATGGCCTCCTGCACTCTTCATTAAACCAAGGTTGATCCACCAGATTAACGGTAATAGTGGAGTGCAGGACATGCAGGCTACAGGGTAGCAGATTGCATTGAATACAATGCTGCTGCTGCTGAAGGCACACAGTGCCTCATAAATGCCTAGTTTTGAGTTATTAATCTGTTCAAAATCTATCCTATTTAACAGGTTGGTGCTACCAGGCATCACGAGGAAGGATACCTTCAAGGGGAATTCAGAATTTCATCACAAGGACTGTGCAGTGTCTGCTCCAGATGATACTGTCACAAACAAATGTATCAGCAACAGGTGGATTATTGAGGTCGAGTTGGTTTCTTGCTCTTATTGGTTCCTCAATACCAGGTGCAGAACCAGTCTAGTAGTTATATCCTTTAAAACACAGCCAGCTAGTCAGTAGTGATGCTACTGAGCCACCATTCAAGATGGACATTGGAGTCCCCTAGCCAGAATACAGACTGTACGCACACCACCCTCAATGCTTCTTCCCATTTGTAGAAAATAAAGTACAGATTCATCATCAGAGGGATCCTTGTTGAATTGATGCCATTTTTCAGAAAAGTATATTACCTGCAACAATACTTTCAAAAGATTGATAAGTCAATCTTAAATTTGAAGAAATACCAATACCTTTCTGAAGCAATCTGTGCATCTCCTGTGCCCAATTCCTCTTCACTTTCAGCCTCAAACATAAACAAAGTTTAAATTAGTAACAGAAAAAGTAATTTTCATAGATTTCAAAGTAAAATTCAATAAATTGCTTATAATGAAATAATTTGGTAATAAGAAAGCATTGTGCGTTCAGTCTCCGTGTGCAAGTTTTATCAAAGTAATAAATAATTGCTTGGTGGTACATAACTTTAACCATTACTAAAGGAAACAAAGAGTTGTAGCTTTTCATCTTGAACTGGAAGAAACTGACTTAAGCAAAGACTCCTTGTTCTGATAAATGCAAGACAAAAAGCTTCAATTTGGTACCTCCTTTTAGCAACATTTCAGATAAGAAACTTTACAGCAAAAAAAAACTGTACTTCAACCTTTAATGATTCATTTATTTGCATTGACCTTAGAAACAGAAAGAATTATCAACTTAAATTGTGTATACAAACAAAATCCAAACTGACTTTATATCATTATATAGTTAATCTTTTCTTTGCTCTGCTTCAAAAATGAGTTTTAGACACAAGAAACTGAAGCAGAAGCAGACTACATGGCCTAGTATAGTCTGCTCCACCCTTACAAAATAATGATAAGCACACAAATCCAAACTCAACCAGGTGAATCACTCTGACACCATCTTGAGTAGAGTGCCTGGACCTGCCAAAAATCTACATAACTTGCAGCAGTCTGAAGAATTGCAAAGAATGGTTTACAATACAACTGCCAAACAGACATATTAAACAGCAATTGGCAAATTGAACATAATGCACTGAATGCAATCAAATTTAAAACTGGATATTTCCCTCAGCATATCTATCAACTTGTACAAATTTTCTGCCTCGCTAATTTGGGCCAAATCCGTTTATACATCAGTAAAGATTTACCGAAAAAAAAACACCTAATGTTTGATGTTTGACCTTTTTTTCTATTCTTACATTAAGTTTGCGTATGCTGCAGTCACAATTCCCCAACTGGTCTCATTGTCCTCCATAAATTATCAACCTTGCTTCATTTTCCAAAATATTGCCTCTCAAGAAATATGCTGATCTAGAAACCAGCCCTAGACTCATTGAGTAATGAATAATGAATAACTGTCTTTCAATTGAAACACCTACTCTTGATCCAAGAAAGACAAAACACAATACTTTCTTAATGGCTTAAATTACTAGGGGCTGTCAAGGGATGTGGGTGGTCGGGTACACAGCAAAGTGAACAGTAGGGAATAGATGCAAAGAGTAATCAAAAAGACTGATTCGATGTTTATTTCTCCATTAGGAAAGATGGAATACAAAAGGAAATGAAGTTATACACCATTTGTACAGTATCTTGGTCAGACTACATTTTGAGGTACTGCTTTCAACAACAAACGTTGGACTTGGAGGAGGTACACAGCAGAATCTTGTATTTGAGGGTTTAAAACTGTAATTTACAAGAACAACTTGTAGAAACCTGGAGTGTATTCCCTCAAGTTTAGGCAGCTATCACTATTGTGCTCACTGGTCTACACTAACTATCAGTTTAACAACATCTCAACAATGTCATACTACACTTTTTAAAAAATTTTGATCTAGGTTTTCAAATCCTTCCAGGTCATTGTCTTCACTAACTCGTAGAGTCTTTCTTCAAGTCTAAGCTCTTGAGCATCTAATGTTTTGTTTGCGCCATCACTAAATGGTCATGGCTTAAGCCTCTCCATTTCTCTCTCTTTTTATTTAAAGGGTGCCTCACAAACATTCTTTTGGTCATCTGTTTGAATTTATACCTATGTGGCTCATTGTGAAATTGTTTACCAATAAGCCAGTGATATCACTTTGGGATGTTTTATTACATTAAAGACGAGGTGTCCAATCAGATATTTACAATTATATGGGACATGAGTGGAAATATAAAGAAACTGTAGATCTGGTGGGAAAATTCTTGAAATCAAAGCTAGGCCATATTTTCTCCCCTCAATCTGGGCTGTAAATCTGAAACTTTCACCCAAAAGGTTGTGATTGCTAAGTCAATCAAATCCCAAGACTGAGACTGATGGGCTTTTGGTTGTTGACGATATCAAGAGATATAATGAGTCGGCAGGCAAAATGGAATTGATTAGCCATACAATGTGACCGAATAGCATCTTTGACGAGACAACAAGGTGCAGGGCTGGATGAACACAGCAGGCCAAGCAGCATCATAGGAGCAGAGAGGCTGATGTTTCGGGCCTAGACCCTTCATCAGAAAAGGAGGAGGGGAAGGGGGTTCTGAAATAAATAGGGAGAGAGTGGGAGGTGGATAGAAGAGAGGAAACAAACAGGTCGAAGAGGCGGGGATGGAGCCAGGAAAGGTGAGTGTAGGTAGGGAGTTAGGAAGGGGATAGGTCAGTCCAGGGAGGACGGACAGGTCAAGGGGGCGGGATGAGGTTGGTCGGTAGGAGATGGAGGTGCGGCTTGAGGTGGGAGGAAGGACAGGTTAGGGGGGCAGGGACGAGCTGGAATGGTCTTGGGATGCGGTAGCGGGAGGGGAGATTTTGAAACTTGTGAAATCCACATTGATACCATTGGGCTGCAGGGTTCCCAAGCGGAATATGAGTTGCTGTTCCTGCAACCTTC